TTTTTTTTTTTTTCACAGGTATGGGATAGCTGGTAGTCAAAACGTTCAGGGAGAGGAAGTGAAAAAATTGGACGTGCTAAGCAACGAGTTGTTCGTGAACATGTTGACATCCTCTTTTACGACCTGCCTTCTTGTTAGTGAAGAAAATACAAACGCGATTGAAGTGGAAACTGAAAAATGCGGAAAATATATCGTATGCTTCGATCCGTTGGATGGATCGTCCAATATCGATTGTTTAATATCGGTCGGCTCTATATTTGGAATTTACAAGAAACCGAACGAGCCGAGACAGCCAGCACTGATGACAAATGCTTTACAACCGGGTAAAAATTTAGTCGCTGCTGGATACGCACTTTACGGTTCTGCAACCATGATAGTACTTTCGATTGGCCACGGAGTTAATGGCTTCACTTACGACCCGGCGATCGGAGAATTTATTTTGACCGAGAGAAATATACGCGTGCCATCGAGAGGAGATATTTACAGGTATCGAAAAGTAAAATAGATTTTTTTGTGCGAAAATGAAGTCTTTCATATTCCACGGATTATCAGGAAGACAAAGGTATAATAGGACAACAACTTTCTCGAGATTAAATTGTTAGTTTATTTAAGTATATTTAAGAATACTATAATATATATTTTTTGACTTACTTAATTTTACACATATACATATATCTCATTTAAATGTAATTTTCCTCTTTTAATTTCAAATTTTTTTTTTCAATTATGAGAACGCAAGGAATATTTTATACGTAATTTTTGAATAGTATTAAATGACCAATGTCTTACAGGTTATTTTGAAGTTTTGGAATAATTATATATTTTTTCTGTTGTTCATGGAAAAAACAGGGACTTTTTTGTTTATTGTTAAAATATTTCCGAAACTAACAGCTTTTTGAGAAGATCGTGCTGCATTCATTAATATATTAAAAAAACATATCATTTCATTTAAAAAAAATGTTGTATCTATAAAAAAGTCATTACTGTTATATTATGACAGTATAATTCCTAAATAATTTTTATTATATAACAAAATTTATTGCTCTAGAAGATATTGAGGTGTGCTTCACCCATAAAATAATTCAGCAGAAGGAAAGACCATCTATTGTTAGTACAATAGAATTTTTAGAATTATGTGAACATCTATTTTTTGAATATTTTAATATTCAATTAAATAATTATTATTAAATTAATATTCAATTTAATATTGAATGTTAATAAAATATTTTAACATTCGAATAGAATGTCTGCTAGCAGCAGATGATCTAGTTATATTAGCAGATATTCTATTCTGATAATATATATAATATTCGAATATTAAGATTTTCGAAAAATCGAAGTTAGAATAGTAAATATTTCGTTCGGATAATAAGAAATTTAGATATTAGAATATTTAGATAATGGATAATTATCTAATAATTAGTATATTATTTAGAATATTAGAATATTTAGATAATGGAAGTTTGGAGAAGAAAGGCGTATTATGTAATTAATTTGCAATCAATAATAAATCTTATAATGTCAATTTCAGCATTAATGAAGGACACGAGAATGCTTGGGACGTAGCTATCAAGGAATATATCCGTTCGAAGAAATATCCTAAGAATGGGAAACCATACAGTGCAAGGTATGTGGGTTCAATGGTCGCTGATGTGCACAGGACAATAAAGTATGGAGGGATATTTCTTTATCCAGCAACTAAAAGTCACCCAAGTGGCAAGGTAATTGCTTAATTGTTTCAACTTCATCATTATTAATCATGTTAACATTTGTCTTGTTTCTTGTAAATTGTAATTATATAGGTATGTCTCAGATTTTATGGTATAAACATAGAATAAAATTTGTTCGTATGTTGCCTCGTTTTCAAAAAAAGTCGAGTTTGAAAATCAAGTATAACTTAATACTTTATTATTCAAATTTTCAATTGTAAAATGGTATGAATATGTGCCACCTAATCTTTGTGATGTGTACATCTGAGTAATTTATTTTTCAATTAGTTTGGAATGTTTATTGGAGAAATTTATAAAAGTTGTTAAAATAAGTTGTAAGTTAACCTTTAGTATCATATTTTTTTTTAATTTACTTACAAAAATTTCTATTAATGCATTTCTGTTCGTACTACATTAAAAAAATTAATAAAAAATTACTAATGTAACAATCTTTTAATTAAATAAAATATAGATTATTTGTAAATTATATAAAAATATAAATTGTCATAGTCAATTACGAGCATATCAATGCTCGATTGTATTCAATGTTACATAGATTATTACATTCATAAATAAATTATTATATTCATAATAGTAAGAGAGAGAGAGAGAGAAAAATTGTTAGAACCGTATTGAAAGTTAAATAAAGAAACAAAAAATTATGCGAATTTTGCATTTGATGAAACTGGAAAAAAAATATCAAATTAAAGGTTGCACAATGATATTAATTTACGTAACATTAATGCTACGGATGAAACTATGACAGAAGAAAATAAAAACTTTTTCATATGACTGCTTTCGAGGAAATTAAATTCCAAAATTGATCAAATACACGCAATCAAGGCAATTTTTAACGAAATATATTTAAAATCTATTTTTGAAGCTTTAAACTAAAAAGATTTTATTCTACACTTTTCAATTCAACAAAATTTAGCCGCTTCTGTACAATACAAATTAATCAAATTCAAGCATGACTTGAAGAAATGTAAAATCTAAACTTAATTTTCTCAAAAATGAAGTCTTAAATAAAAAAATATTATTTTGTCTTTTTGGTTTATTTATGTATATAAACTCATCACTCGACTGTGTACCATGAGAACTCATCTAAGTAGATGTACAATAATTTATACACATATAATATTATAGATATATAATTTATATATAATAGTAATAATAATTTCTGAAACGGTTATTTATAGCTGCGTCTTCTGTACGAATGTATTCCAATGGCTTACATATTAAAAGAAGCCGGTGGTTTGGCGTCAAATGGAGAAATTGACATTTTGGAGATCATCCCTGAAAAGATTCACCAAAGATCCCCGATATTTTTGGGATCACAGGAAGATGTGCAAGAAGTCTTACAATGCATTCGAAAACACAAGGCATCGTGAAAAACGGCGGGCAGGAAATAATCGAGCGATGAAGAAATGTTTTGGAGTTTTTATCAGAAGACATAACTTGCTAACACGTTGAAAGTCTATATCGTTATATGTATATTGTAAATCAAGGTTACAAAGCTGCATTTCTTCGTGCAGCGAATGTCATATCTTTTTTCCTCTAAATTTCAACTTTATTTTTTTCTTACATTTTGATCACCTCCTTATTAAAAAGCAGTTTTGACGTACATACTATACATTATTCAGTATCTGTATCCTTCGTTACTTGTGGATCCTCCTCCAGTGACTCTTGGAGCTGGAGCTGGATAAGTAGCTGTCCCTTCGTATCGTACTATTGGCCGATAGCCACCACCGTCGGCAACATAGTCGACGATTTGTGTTCTACCATCTGGCAATAGCACGTGATAAGTTCCAGTTGCTTCATCGTCTTTTCGTGACTCGCGATGGCCAAAGTTTAGGCCAGCTACTGCGTCTTCCACTTCGTACGAGAATTCGTAATTTACCGGATCCTGCGAAAGCGAGAGAGAAAAAGAAAAGAAAAAAAAACACGGAAAAAGGTACTTATACAGATCACAGATAAAATCATCGAGATACGAATCTTTTACATTTTATGCGACGAA